CTGTCATGGTAGCCACATGAGAGACTGGGGGCCTGAAAAGGCTCTCTGAAGGTCAGAGGAGAGGGCTCAAGGCAGATCTGCTCCAGTTCCTGGCTGGGTGACCTTTCCATCTGTGCCTTTCTGGATTCTCCCATACTCCCGTGTCCTCTAGGGCAGCCCTCGTGCCAATCTTCTCCTTCGGGGAGAACAACCTGTTTAACCAAGTTGAGAACACATATGGCACCTGGCTGCGCTGTGTCCAGAACCGACTACAGAAGATCATGGGTATCTCCCTCCCTCTCTTCCATGGCCGCGGTATCTTCCAGTACAGCTTCGGGATCATGCCCTTCCGCCAGCCCATCACCACCATAGGTGAGCTGAGATCCAGACTGGCCAGGGCAGGCTGCAGGAACAGGGCCTGGGCTAGATGCTCCAGGGAGCTTGAGGGTGGGAAAGATACGCCCTCATCCTCATGGGACTCACATTCTAGACAGGGATGTACCCCACACGTAGATAACCCTACATGAGGGAAGTCTGGGATAAGAGATGTAACAGACATAAAGGTACTGATGGTTGAGTACTTATTCTCAACGAGAGATACTGATGGCTGAGTACTCATTCTCAAGAAGGGACAGCAGGGGACCTGCCATGTGTCAGACATTACACTTGCCATTTGACATTCTCAAGCTTGGTTTTTCCTAGCAACCTTTGAGGTAGGGACTATTATCTCCATTTCATTGATATAAAGTGAGGCCCAAAGGAGTTAAATAAATTCTCAAAGCTCACATTGCCTTTGAGGGACAGAGCTGAGGCTGTAACTGGAGTCTGTCTGACCTTCATGAGGTCAGAGAAGGAGGGGTTAATTGTGGTCCGGATGATAGAGTGAGGCCTGTGAAAAGAAAGCAGAGAACAGAGATGTTAAAATTCTGTGCAGGGCTGGGCGGTGGTGGCGCACGCCTTTAATCCCAGCACTCGGGAGGCAGAGCCAGGCGGATCTCTGTGAGTTTGAGGCCAGCCTGGACTACCAAGTGAGATCCAGGAAAGGCGCAAAGCTACACAGAGAAACCCTGTCTCGAAAAACCAAAAAAAAAAATCTGTGCAGGGATGGGGAAATGGCTCAACTGATAAAGGACTTGCTGAGCAAACATCAAGATGTGAGTTTGACCTCCAGTACCCACGTAGAAGCCAGGCACAAGGCCCGGTGGTATGCACTGTAATCCCAGGGCTGAGGGGACCGAAATAGGAGGATCTCTAGGTCTGGTGGCTGGCAGTCTACCAGTTGGCAAGCTCCAGGTTTAGTGAGAAACCTTGTCTCAAAAAATTGGATGAAGCACGATTGAGGAAAATGTTCAACATTAACCCTAGGCTTCACATATGCTCACACATGCACACAAACACATACATGTACAAAAAAGAATGTTTTAAAAATCTGTGTGCCAACTAATAATCAATAGACTCTGCATTAGACTCTGGGAGCTCTTCCTGTAAGAAATGAACCTGAGCTTGGGTGTACAGACTTAGCACAACTTTTCAGCTATTTGCACTTCTCTTTTGTTTTCTTCTTGGATTCCCATTTGACATTTGTAGAGAGGACTCTGTTCATTTCAACTCTACCCATCCATCTATCCACCTGCCCATCTATCTGTCTACCCACCCATCCATCTATCTACACACTCATCCATCCCATCCATCTATCTACCCACCATCCATCTATCCACCCACCCATCCATCTATCCACCCACCCACTCACCCACCTATCTACCCACCCATCCTCCATCCACCCACCCATCCATCTATTCATCCACGCATCAATCTATCCACCCACCCATCCATCTACCCACTTACTCATCCACCTATCCACCCATCCATTCATCTATCCATCCACCCATCTATCCACCCACCCATCCATCCCATCCATCTCTCTACCCACCCATCCATCTATCCACCCACCCATCCACCTTTCCATCCATCCATCCATCCATCCATCCATCCATCTATCCACCCACCCATCCATCTATCCACCCACCCATAGTTGAGCACAGATTTGGTAATCCTTGCATAATGGCCTTACTGGTTCGTATGGTGATATCAGTCCTCATGTATTTGAACGTTGTTGCTGCTGCTGCTGCCTCCAGAGATATTTCCAAGAGGAGAGGGCACCGCTGCCTCCAGAGATATTTCCAAGAGGAGAGGGCACCGCTTGCACAGCCACACAGATTTATAAGTTTTATAAGAGTCTTCCTGATTCTTCCCTATGACCATGGAGCATTATATATCAGTGCACATGGCAGAGAAGAAAGAAGGGCTACCTGGGCTGTGATACCCCCACCCCAATTCTAGAAGTGCAGGCACCTCCAGTTCTGACACGTTGAACCCTCAGAATCACATGTGTGCACCCCTAGCGTTTAAAATCTAGTACCGCTTCCATCTGGTTACTTGGATCATTGACTTAACTTCTCTGAGCCTCATTGTATCCAGTAGGAATAATGACAGGTTTTGTTTGCCTGGGACTAAGGGAGAGAATGCATATAAAGTGCATGCATATTGCCCAGCATACTGAAAGCTGACTGTTAGTATACTGAGAGTCTGGAGTGAGGTGTCCTAAAACCTTAGAATTCAGTACCTGAGGGCGAGGGAGATAGCTCCGTGGTAAAGTGCAAGCAAGAGGAACTGAGTTTGAAACCCCAGTACCTATGAAAAAATCTGGGTGTGGTGGCACATGGTTTTAATCCCAGCACTCGGGAAGCAGAGACAGAAGGATCCCTGGGGCTCACTAGATGGCCACCCTAGCCTAATCAGTTAGTCCCAGGCCAATGAAAGGCTTGTGTGTCCATAAACATGGTTGATGGTATCCGAGGGACAGTACTGGAGATTAACCTCTGGCCTCCACATGCATATACCTGCACATGAACGCACACTTATCCACATACATGGGGTGAGGGAGAGCGGGGGGGACGGGGAGATAGAAAGCGAGCCCAGAGTATCTGAAATCAGGAGAGCAGGGGGTGGTAGTGGGACACCTTGTGGGGTGACAGTAGGGGTGGCCCCTGCTCCCAGGGTTCCTGAGACTCACTCTGGGCCACTGTCCTCCTCTGTCCCTTGCAGTGGGAAAGCCCATACAGGTGCAGATGACACCACAGCCCTCAGAGGAGGAGGTGGACCAGCTTCACCAGCTCTATATCAAGGAGCTATGCAAGCTCTTTGAGGAACACAAACTCAAGTTCAATGTCCCCGCTGACCAGCACTTGGAGTTCTGCTAAGTGACTCCAGCCAGAGGACAGCTGCATCCGAGAGCCTGCAGGAGTGTTGTGATTAGGGGGGGACTTCCACAAAGCAGTGTCCAGTGCACTGGAGGTGCTGTGGTGAGAGGGGACTTCCACAGCCACCCTGGACTCCTAGGAACTCAGCTCCGGCTGGCAAGATGGAAGAGGAGGCGGCTCCTAGCCCTGGGACTTGCAGCTGCAGCCAAAGCTCTGTGGTCTCCCTGGCCCTGGCCTGTCTGCCCATCTGTAGGATGGGGAAGAAAAGCAAGTAGAGAATCATTTCTGAGGTCTCCACCCACAGTTCTAATGTCACTCAAACATGACCAAAGGACAGCCAGGGAAAAGCAGAACACAATTCTTCTTCCCCTACCCTCGAGTGACAGTGTGAAAGAAGCCAGCACCCCAGGCCTCCCCTGTGCATGTCCCTCATCCTGCTCCCTGATGTCCCTTCTTCCCCTCTGAGCTGGAGAGGAGGTGTAGCAAACTATGCCCTGGCACCCATCCTATGTTCCTTCTAGATCCTGGGTCCTCTGAGCTATGACATCGATACCAAAGGAGCCCAGAAGGGAGTTAAGGAAGGCAGAGCTCAGTCCTCCTTAGCTACCTGACTATCACTGAGGGTAGGTCTCCTTGCCATCCTTCTGAGTCTCAGTTTCCCCAGCCTTGACAGCCTGGGAGCCTCGGTGCTCACATCACATGGGCTCTATTAGGGAGCCTCGTACTCATGCTTTATAACGAACTCCAGCCCCTGTCTTGGCACAAAAGGGCAGCTCCATACATGTTACCTCAATAAATGAAACGATTCTGTTTTATCTCTCTTCTCTTCCTTTCTCCCAACCAGTGGGGCCGACTGGAGCCTCAGCTTTGTCCTGTGGCCCCAACCTCTCCTCAGAAGCTGAGTCAACTACATTGTAGAAGACCATGTCAGTCTCCCCTTTCCCGGGGACTGGTCACCCTGAGTTTTCCACCTTGGAAAGAAGGGGGAAGGGACATGCCTGTGGGCAGACCAGCGCATTGGAAGCCAGAGATGATGCATGGGTGGCTGTGTGTCTCCTGGGTGGGCTACACTCTGGCCAGGAGAATTCTGGGTTCCTGGGTTGGAGCTCCTACACCCGCAGGAAAGCCCAGGGCATGGCTAGATTGAAAGAATGCCTGACTGGCCCTCCCCTGTAATGGGGAGCAGAGCCCTTCCATGTAGGAGCAGTTTCTATAACCCCTGGGGAAGTGTGCATTGGGATCCCAGCCCCAGCCCCACCTATCTCCTCAGCAAATCAGTTACCTCTAAACCTCAGTTTTAGCATCTGACACAAGGATGGCAATAACACTCTAGTGTTGTGAGCAGTTCCCAAGCTTGGGGTCACACCATGCCCTCCATGAAGTGCTGCACAGTACATAGAAATTAGTAGTTCCGTGACATGGATGTTCAGCACCTTGTGCAGGCACCTGGGATTGAGAAGAGATGGTGTGGGACAAGACTCAAACAAGGTGTGTGGTGGTGCACACCTTTAATCCCAGCACTCAGGGAGCAGAGAAAGGGAGATCTCTGTGAGTGAGTTCGAGGCTGGCCTGGTCTACATAGTGAGTTCCAGGATAGCCAGAGCTATGTAGAGAGATCCTGCCTCAAAATAAAATGAGATAATCCCACCAGGAGCAAAAGGCAGAGGAGTCAGAGAAGGGAGTGCTGTCTTCAGGTCCAAGACGATTTGAGGAAGTAGCCGTGGTCAGGGCCTTAAAGAAAGGGCAAGACAGCAAAGGAGATGTCCATTAGGGGTCCATAGCAGTTCTCTGCCTCCAAGTTAGAGCCGCCAACTAGCTGAAGGCAGCGAGAGCCTTGATTTCTCCCCAGTTCCGAGTTGTTTCAGCTCTGGTGCAGCTGCAGTGGGACACGTGGTCATGTGAGGCTGGGGTGACTGTACACGTTGTGACAGCGGGGCACAGGGCCTGGCTTTATCCTGACGGCCTTTTTAGCACCTGTGGTGACTGGATTCCGATGGAATGACGGTCCCCCGACTACACAGCATGCGGTGTCCATTCCATCACACACCGTGCATCGAAACGGTCACAAGGTCAGGAATCAGAAATAGACTCCGCCAAGTGTGAAGAGGAGGGCCATCACATCGCACAAGGTGCTGGAGAGTGCTCGTGGCCATCTTTGCACACTGTCTACAAAAATTTAAAAGTAAAAGCCTATGGCAGAATGCCCCCTCCCTACCCCACCCTCCACACCTCTCTCTTTCTGCCATAATAAAGCCATTGCATCCCAAGGGGCCCAGTCAACCTGGTGTCTCTCGCCTGTCCCCATCTCCTTCTCCCTCTGACACCACTCTCCCTACTCAAGATCCTTGCATGGCCTTCCATTGTGCGAGGCTAGGGTTCATGCTAGTCTCGGTCTCAGAGGGAACCAGAGGACAGTCTGAGGAGGTTGTGCTAAAGATACCATGTCTTGAGGTACCCACAGGTGTTGGAAACCACAGTGAGTGGTGCTGTAAGCAACAGCTGTCACCAGATGCTGTCACCACCCAGGAGGCCTGGAAGAACCAATGGAGGCATAGAATCCCCAAGCCACGCTAGTCAAGGACATAGGCAGCTTTGAGAGACTCGTCAGACAAGAGCAGCAAATGTCTCTCCCTCCATACTTCCTCCCTTCCTTCAACTGCCTGCGGAGTGCCCAAGTCCAGAGGAAGCTGGGCCTGCGGCTGCAGCCAGGCATGTGAGCTGCAGGCCTGGGAGCAAGGCTTGGAAGGATCAGTGGAAGACAGATGTCTACCTTGAAGCCCGGTGTTAGCTTGCTGTTCATCAGCAAGCTCTGGTCCTTGGTGTTTATCTTAGTCCTTAGCCCTAAGCTTCTGTCATAGGGACACTGTGACCACACTCACTGTCACCTCTGTGATCTTGTCCGCGCTGTTTCTCAGACTAGAATGCTTCCCTTCCATCACCTTCCTGTTGCCTGATAATGCTTCCTGATCCTTCAGCATGACTCATCTAACCCAGGGAGCTTCCCCAGTGCCTGTGGGCGAGAAGTGCGCCCTCTGGCTTCCTGGGGCTGCCCTGTATCCTCTGGCTTCCTGGGGCTGCCCTGCATCTTCTGGCTTCCTGGGGCTGCCCTGCATCCTCTGGCTGCCCTTCCTCTGCTACAGCTCTCAGCACCACGTGGACACTAGGTACCACTGACAGGACATGAGTCCACTCTCTCAAATAAAACCCAAATTTCCAAGGTCCTCTTCAGTACTCGGGATAACAACTATGTCTCTCTTCCATCTGGCCTTCAAGGCCCTATTTCATCTGCCCCTAGGCCTGGCTAGCCTCACCTCAACCTGTGCGCCCTGCACTGCTCCTCAGGCACACTCCAGGGCTTGCTCCATCTTCGGCACCTCCTATCTCTTCATAATACTCTTCCCTATGACCCAGTCAGTGTCACTTAGCCCAAGTCACCCCTGTGTCATACCTCGGTCTACTCTTCTCTGCCTTCTTCCCTGAGTCGGGATGGACCTTTAGTTCTGAAGGAGAAAAGGGACATGGTCACCAATACATGAGGGCATGAGGGGACTTTTCCATCCTCAGGGGTTTGGGAACCTCTGAGAACTAAGACCTATGCTTAATGTCTACACACAGAGACAGGCAGACAGACCGACTGACAGACAGACAGACAGACAGACAGACAGACAGACACACACACACACACACACACACACACACACACACACGATCTAGAGTACCTCAGCAATCCTCTAAGTGAAGCTGGCAAATTGGCCTACACTGCATTCTGGACTTTTATATTTGGTCAAGATGGTTAGCTATTTGCTGTCCATAATAAATTATTTTAAAAGTTATCTGCTTGCCGGGTGGTGGTGGCGGCGGCGGCGGCGGCGGCGGCGGCGGCGGCGCACGCCTCTAATCCCAGCACTCGGGAGGCAGAGTCAGTCAGATCTCTGTGAGTTCCAGGCCAGCCTGGTCTACAGAGTGAGTTCCAGGACAGTCAGGGCTACAAAGAGAAACCATGCCTCAAAGAAAGGAAAAAAAAAAAAAGCATAGAAAAAAGAAGTTATCTGCTTTAAGGGACACTTTACTGACTCCAAGTTCCTGAGGGTGGGCCCCTGGGAGGGACTTAGCTGGTGGCTGTGACTCAGGGGCTTCCAGAGTGGCATCTAGGCTGCTGGCTAGGCTTAGTCTTTCAAGCTTGCACAGGGGCTGCAGAGGTCACCTCCACACTCACTCCCATGACTGATAAGCGAGAGCCTCTGTTCCTTACCAAGTGGGTCTGGGCCTCTCCGTGGGCCCCCAGTGATGGGGCCTCTCCTAGAGCAATCGAGTGGGGGGAGAGACGGGTCACCTGACTATTATGACCTCTGAGTCACATGAGTCTATTCTGCCTCAGTCTGTTGGTTAGGTGTGAGTCACTCTGTTCAGTTCACACTCCCTCTAGGGTGGGAGGACAAGAGGTGGCAGTAGCTGCCACTCTGATGGGATGAGTCCTCAGATACTTCGCGGGGCTTTTCTGACCCCGGTGCTGTAGCATGAGGCAACCTGCCCAGAAAACACTGAAGGACAGACACCCCGCTAGCCAAGGAGAAAGCATGAGGATGGGCGGGGCGGGGCGGAGCAAAGGTTGGAAACAGGAGTGATATCCATGACCACCCCCCCACCATCACCACCCCACCCCCGTCTGACTGGCAGAAGAACAGGGTGGCCTTTAGACGTGAAGCTGCCAAGATGGAAACAGAAGAGAAAGACTTGGGGAAGAGGACTCGCCCTCTTTCACATGACCTTAGAATCCCCATGTTACAGATACCAACAGCACAAGCCAAGAAAGGTGTGGAGCCCTGAGCTCAGAGGAAGGCTTTGTGTGTTCAGTTTAAAGGGTGCTTTTCATGGACCAAGGCTCTGAGACGGAGGATATTGCTTACAGCAGTTGGATTTCCTAACTCTACATAATGGGCTCAAGTACTAATTTTCATGTTCCCGCACCTCCTGGCCCTCTCAGGGCCTCCCTTGGGGTGCCCCACTCTGTGGGGAAGGCAGTTTCCTCCACCTCAACACACATGCAAATACAAGATGTGTCAGTGTGATAGAGAAGGTCAGAAGTCCTCAAACGATGGGGACAGCTGGAGTCTCCTCCGGAATCAGGGTGCTCTTTGGCCTGGGAGAAGTTCTCAGACATCATCACCCAAGAGGACAAAGGGCTTGCTGAGGCCCAGCCAGTCTGATACTGCTTTATGATGACTTGAGCAGAGGTGACAAACAGGGCAGGGGTAAGTCAGCACGGTAGAGCCTGTGGCCACGTGGCATGGGGTCAAGGCTCAACCTCCCACAGTGGCTCAGCTTTCTTAGGAATAAGACAAGGAGGTAGGAGGGGTGTCACTTTGCTAAGTGAGCAAAGGCAGATGGGAGGGACACCGTGGGGACACTGGTCAAGGATGTGATCAGAGCACAAGGGTAAGACCTTGAGAAGAGAATGTCTGAGGGGTAGGTCTGTGTTCAGCAAACTTTTATCAAGTCCCTGTGATGGACCAGAGGCTGGAGTTGAAAGTGGTAACCCAGGCGGGGTTGGGGGGGACCCGTCCCTAGCTTTTCCTTGCTGGCTGTCCTATAGCACCCCAATGTTAGGGAGGCAGGAACTCCTTCACAAAGTTGAAGGTGGCCTGGAAGACCTTGGAGCTGGTCTGGGGCCTGGGCCAGGCCACCAGGGCAGACAGAGCGGGCTGAACGGAGCATCTGTCAGTTCGTTTTTTGTTTTTAGTGCTGTTTTGAGATGGGGTCTCACTTTGTAGCCCTGGCTGGCTTGGAGTTCACTATGTAAATCAGGCTGACCTTGTACTCACAGAGATCCACCTGCCTCTGGACTGCTGGCATAAGGTGTGTGCCACCACACTTATGTTTATTAAAGACACCACTCTCTCTTCACACTTAGCTGATGCCCCATGTAATCATGTCTTTGCCTGTCACACTGTCCACAAATGGGTATTTGGTGAATACTCGCCCCTCTTGAGGAACTCCAAGGATGACTCTGACAGATGTGTGACTTGGTGCTTCTCACAGAGCAGGTCTGGGTATTTCTAAACTTCTGTGGCTTCCTTTTCTCACTGCACAAAGCCCACCAGAACATTTCCTTTCAGGCTGAGCTGGGACCAGGTACATCCAGGCTCATCTTCAGTGGAGAATGAACAGACTTGAACCCATGAAATGGAAGGAATCCCCTGCTGGCAGCCCCCTCCCTCTGCAACATTTATTGATACAGGATCTTGCTTAGGTAGCCCGGGCTGGCCTCAAACTTTCGATCCTGCTCTAGACTCCTGAGTACTGAAATCACAGGCCCGTGCCTCCATGGCTGGCTAGGGATCCTCCTGGCTCTACTGGGATTATAGGTGTGCATCACCACCGCCCGGTTCTGGCTTAAATTTTTGAATTGAAAAAAGGAATAGGATTTAGATCAGCCAGGTAATTACAAGGACTAGAGTTTGGATCCCTAACACCCATATAAAAGCTGGAACCCCAGCACTGTAGTGGCAGGTAGGGACAGGCACATTCGTGGGGTTCGCTGGTCAGTCATGTTGAACTCCAGGTTCAGGGAGATGCCCTGTCTCAAAAGCTAAGGTGGATAGGGATGGAGGAAGTTACCTGACATCAAATGGCTTCCACATGCGTGGTACACGCAAACACATGCGCAGACATGAATGCATGCACACATATACACACAAAACAAACAGATAAATAAAAGTGTGAACATTTACATTATTGTGCTAGTTTTTGTCAGCCTGACACAAAATAGAGTCATCGAGGAAGAGGGAACCTCAACTGAAGAGCTGCCTCCATCAGGCTGTCCTGTGGGCAAGTCTGTGGGGCGATTTCTTGATTAAGGATTGATGTGGAGGGACTAGCCCACTATGGGCAGCGCCATCCCTGAGCAAGTGGTTCTGGGTTGTAAAGGAAATCAGTCTGAGTAAGCCATGGAAAGCAGGTCCATAATCAGCATTCCTCCATGGTTCCTGACTCTGTTCCTGCTTACATCCCTACCCTGACATCCCTCAGTGATTAATGGTGAGTGGAACAAGTGAGCCAAATAAACCCTTTCCTCCCCAAGTTGCTTTTGGTCATAGTGTTTATCACAGCAATTGAAAACTACCTAGAACAACTGTAGAGTCAGGCTGGTGGCTCAAGTCTATAATCCCAGCAGTTGGGAAGTAGAGGCAGGAGGATCAGACGTTCAAGGTCATCTTCAGCTATAGTGAGTTCAAGGCCACCCTGGGACAAGAGGCACTGTCTCAAAAGCAAAAAAAAAAAAAAAAAGAAAAAAGAAAGAAATAGGCTTTAAATTTGGGGATCCCAAGAAGGAATACAGACTGTGATAATAGAGTTGTTTCTGAAAAGCATGTTAAAATGCTACCAGAGTTGGAAAATAAGGGACAGACTTAAGTAACTCTAGAACCTAGGACACGGAGTAGAAGTTGCAGGACTAACATCAGAATGGGATGGACACAAGCCTCCACTGTGTCTGGGGATGCTCAGTTCCTCCAGGGGTGCGAGTTCCCATTATCTGAAACTGCTGGGTTTCCAGGTGGGAACAAACACCTAAGTGGTCGTTGGGAGCCAGTTTTCTCAATGCCGGAGAAGGAAGACTAGAATGTTCCGTGTAGTAAGAGGACAAGTCAATGTGAACTCAAAGTATCTTCTCACAGCTTCAGATGGATGATACAGAAAGCAATAAAATACTGGTGTATACACGGACTAGTACACACGTGGGCTGCCTAGCTCTGGCTTCCAAGAGAGCCTAGAAGCAATAGCACCCAGTTGCAGCTAGCATGCCCTGAGCCTGGGGTTTAGTTCCTAAAGAAGGGCTTTCCTGGGGCCAGTGTGATGGCACAGTGGGTAAAGGCACTCGTCAAGCCTGAAGACCTGAGCCCCGCATGGTGGAAGGAGAAAACCCACTCCCACAAGCTCTCCTCCCCTGTCCACATGTGCATTGTTGTGTATGGGTTCTCACACACATACATGCACACCAATACATGAATAAATTAACTGACTAAAAGGAAGGAGATTCTTGAGATACTTGGAGAAGTGGCAGATTCTAGGGCTGGGGCATCTTGGAGTGCCGGAAAATCAAGACCAGCTCAAAACCAGCCAAACAAGAAAAAATAAACATACAAACAAATAGCAATGGAAATACCCCACCCCCACCCCCACACAGTGATCATCATCTTACACAGGGGCCAAATGGAAAGATTTTAGTGACCATGGCAGAGACAATTTGAAGAAGAAAATAATACCATAGCATTGAGATGCCAACCTAAAATATAACCCAGACATCCTTGAGCACATGCTGATAAACAAATAATAAATAATCAAGGGAGACGAGGTAAGTCTTCCTTTCAGAAAGACCGCAAATACTGTGGGGCTGCACCTCCCTTTAGGAAATGGAGTTTAACTCTCCCAGTTGAACTGGGGTTACATAACAACCTGCTTCCAAAAGTAAGGTGTTCAAAGGGTTGGGTGCGGCGCGGGG